AAAACTTTTAATATATTTCAAATAAGACCCGAAAACGTACAAAATGAGTATCTTAAAATATTTGATACGACATCGTTTCTAATACGCGAATACGGTATTCTCAAAAATTATTAGTGCTACGTAGCATTGTGTTGTTTTAGTTTTAGTATTTTGTCCCATAAAAGACCAAATTAAATCGATCACATAAAATTAAGATCAACATAATATAATATTACTTTTTTATTATTACTAAAAGCTGTGTTATTATTGTTCAAAATAATATAATTAATATAATCACTTTTACTAAGACTATTATTTTTGTTAATATTATTACTTTTATTATTATTATTATTACTACAATTTATCAATATATTCGTTATATCATTCTATTTGTTAAGTTTTTTCTATCAAAATAAGCCAATCATTATTATTTTCAATAGCATACCATTATCATCATTATCATATATATCTATTGTTTTAATAGTAAAACTCAGTTTTAAAGGGCTGACGTGTCACAATCTTATTCGTTAAGAGAAGTTGGAATAAAACTCCTATATTAAATCATTTAAATCACACATAACGAAAAGTCAATATGATAAATTCTAACTTCTCGGTAATCCTAAAACTAAGGAAAACTGCCAGGTGTATTAATTAAAAATGACATTTGGAATAGGACTCAAATTCGTGAAGATAAATTCCCAGGTCTATTAATTAAAATGACATTTTAATTAAAATCCGTAACGAATTTATGTGAATACGGAAAACTCACATAACGGAAAACTCACATAACGAAAGTTAAATTCCATAACGAATTTAATTAAAATCCATGAAGATAAATTCCCAGGTCTATTAATTCACATAACACAGAGTAAGTCATTTGGAATAGGACTCAAATTCCATCTCGCTGAAGCTAAACACTCCCAAGGCTATTAGAACTCAACTCTCAAACATCTTGCCGTATCCTTATGAATCAACCTGTATAAATAATAAAACATTTACGGCAGTGCAAATACCAATTAGCATACAACATCACAAACCAGAGAGTTATTACACTTAAAATAATGGTTATTTCTCACCCATCTTCCATGGTGCAATATGATTGCATCAACGAGGTCTCTAATCGAAAGCAAATCTGATCTTTACGCGCAAGGCTGGTCACTCATTGGGATAGTTTTCGTCAGTCCAATCCGAATCAATTTATTTCTTATGAACTACTTTTAATTGATGAAAAGGTATGTTTAAATTGCAGCAATTTTATAGATTTATTACTTATGTTTTGCATATGAATATCTTAAATTAATCATGTTAGAGGCATGAAATTTGGTGTCAATAAATATAATTAACACTATAGGTTCAATTACATGACAGTACCGTAATAGTTATACTTACTTATATAAATAGTGTTATCTAAATAGTTATTATTTAGATAACACTATAAATAGTGTTAATTATTATAGGTTGAATTAGATAAATAGAGAAAAGCAATCACATTGAATTTCATTGTGTCCGTGACTCGGTTAAAAAAATCAATAATATACTGGAAATCTGTAACAGGATAATCTATATTGTATTGTTGCGCTCAATTAGCACACATTTTTACAGTGATGCATCTCCTTTAACCAGTCTCACGCATTATCTATAATCTATAATATATAATACTACGTACGAAGTACTTCGTAACTTTTATATATTGTTTTATTTACTGCATATTAATCATATTGAAATATTCAGAGGTATATATTAATATACTCAATTTTGTTCATAATACTTTTAATTTATATTTTCAGGGACACTACATACAATGCAGTATACCGCCCAATCTTTTCAATGCCTCATTCCGCAAGACTTTTTACGACAAACGTTGTTATAGCATCAAACAATTGGATGTTAGACGCAATGTGTATGGATTCCGCTTGTGCAACCATAGTTTCAAACTTCTATTCACTAAGTCAACGATTGTCGAAGAAATAAAGGATTTCGACATATCGCCTTTTAATTTTCAATGCGCTAAATTCGATGACATATTATTTAAAAAATTTGACCCAAATTATTCTGTTAATATAATGGGGGAGGTCACCTACTGGAAGATGAACCCAGTTAATATGAAGGCCGGGGGTACAAAAAATAGATTGCAATTAACCCTTGCGGATGAAGAGTAAGTATCCTTTAAGTATCTTTAATTTCATATATATGTATCCTATTTTTCATCCAATTATGTATACTTTATTCTCTCATTTCTAACGCTCCATTTGACCCTCAAAAGAGGGTCCCAGATTACCTGTTATTTGTGGGACAAATTTGGTGAAGAAGTAGATAGCAGACTCAATAAACATAAAGAATCAAAGAATGAATTTCCTTTTGTGATTCGGTTATGCTTTGGAATAATTAGAGAGTGGAAAGGTATTTAGATTCATGAAATAGAGCACAAATTTTTTTTTTCAACGTCACTATGTGCAATAAAATAATCAGAGATTCTGAAATAATTTATTGTAGATGAGATTTCAGTTTCCAGTTGGTTTAATGCCTCAAGAATTGAATTCAGAGAGGACAATGAGGTGATTTCACAATTCGGAGACAGGTAATAATTTTTTTCCCTACATATTCTTTTTGAAAGGAATTATTTTTCGGTAGGTATGTACTGCATACTAATCATATTTTCATTTATTCGTAAGAATTGAGAAACTATTTCCAAAAGTAACAGAGAGGTTAACACAAAGCAGTGACCCTCCCAAATCTGAAGAGGAAATTTTTCTTCACCAGTATCACAAAATACCAATCAACCAACTGTTTGATATTGAAGAGGTAAATAATTACCATTATAGATTACTAATGTAGCACTATCTATTTCGGTATTTAATTTCAAATATTTTACATCATCGAATCTGAATATTATTTGAAATAGTATAAAATGTGTATTTCTACAGAAAGGAAAGCACCTTGTGGTTGGTACTATATTAGGAGTCTCAACGGAGAAAGGTTGGTTCTTTAATGCATGTCCTAAATGTGTCTCCAATGTACGCGTAGTTGATGGCAGGTTTAAATGTGATAAATGCAATGAAGATTGTATCAAAACTTGCAAGAGGTGTAGTGCTAAACACCTATTATTTTATATTTTTCTCTTATTTCCAAGTTAACAATGCTATTACTTATTGTGCTAATAATGCATTTAAATTCAAAATACTTACATTACTCATCAGATATAAGCTCAAGTTGAGGGTTGAAGACTCTTCTGGCATTGCATACTTTATTGTATTCGAAAATGAAGGAACCCAACTCATCGGACTATCTAGCGTAGACCTGCTCAAAAATATGGTAAAAATAAAAATTGAGATATTATTCAGAACATAGTTATGCACAACTCATGTTTTTCAGATCATTCAAATATTAAAAAATAAAGTTTGTTGTACATTTTTTAATAGAAGGAAAAAGGAGACGCATTCCCAGATGAATTTTTATCCTTAGAAGGGAAAGAAGTAGCATTTATTGTGAAGACAGAAGCTCCTAATGGATACACAAGTCGTTGTTTTGCTGTCTCGGCTCTGACTCAAAACTCATCAATCTTAAATACTTTGGCAGAAAACAATGAGGTATACATATAGATGGTTAATGTTTTAATGCAACTTTATACATTTCATACACACACATATGCATATATAGTTACATGTTTTACTCTTTCATGTATGGCAGGAAGGACAGATTCAAGAAGAAGTGAAAGGATATGATGAGGACAATGAGGAAGGACAGGCTCGAAAGAAACTTAAAGCTTCACCATGATAATTCTGTTAATGGATCATACTTTAGCTGAATTACTTTTTATTTCTAAGTTATTTACATCTTAGCATACACATTTATCTTCAGTATTTTTATTATTTTCTGTTAGTTTCTTAGTATTTCTCAATATAATGACTAAGTTGGCCCACATGTATTTAAGTTTTTTGCTGCTTCATTACCTATAAATTAATACAAATGCTGTTGAAAATTTATTAAACTTTTTTTGGTTGGGCGGCGTGGATGAAGTTAAGTATTTACCTGATGGACAGATTTGCTATTTTAGCTGGTATTAAAACGACAGGATCTCGAGTTTGCCAAATAGGTTCTTATTTATTTTCTTTAGCTTGAGTAAGATTTTCTTAACGTAAAACATCTAGAATCGCAAGCTGGAATTTGCAAAATTTATGGAATATCAGTTTTGTGTCACAATTCTAGCTGCTACATATGCATATAAAAACCAAACCAAACGAAACAAAGACAAAACAGAAAGAACTAAAAAAGCATTAGGGCTGTGTTTACAAAAATAAACAAAATAAAAGAGAAACATAACACCGAGGAAGGAGGAGAGAAGAGCAGGTAGTTTCATTGTTATATAAAAAACTGAAAAAAAAGTATGAAATATGGCTAGCAAGAAGAAGGGGTGGTAGGATGTGACAGATGCCACATAAAGGAAAAAAGAGAACATCATCCACAAAAAGAACTAAAGGATTTTTTTTAATTCAAATATGACAATCAACAACCAAATCAATCAAAACATAACTCTTATTCAATAAAGGCATATCAAATGGTCTATTAAACATATTGCTATTGAATAACATGTGAAAAAAGCATCTCCTTTTTCAAAGGCATATCAAATGTTTTATTAAACATGTTTTTTTTAAAGCAGTTTAGTAGTGTTTGAAATCTGAAAATATGGAGAAACTTATATTTGAAATTCACAAAACATAAAAAAATTCAAAAACAGAATTAGCAAGAAACTTTAATACCCCAATAGTACTAATAGCAATTGGATTAATGGCATCTCAATAAATCTTTTACTACTAAGTGCTGATAAGTATGGACACTAAAAAATGCTTTTTTTGCAAAACTAAAAAATGCTTTTATTATTAGTTAATAACTCCTAAAAGATACGAGCACCAATTTTTTGGGTATTGATAAATTTTAATTTAAAGTGATTAGGATAATGATCAAATACCAACAAATCTCCATCTGTCACCAGGACTCTCCTACCACTTATATCAGTTAAACAACTTCAACCAATACATCCTAGAGCCTATTTGATGCCGTTGTTATGGAGAGAGGAAAGAGAAAACGAAAGAGGAATGAAGAGATCGAATCAAGTAATGCAGGCGAACAAAGTAAGCACAAATTTAATATATACAATTTAATCTAAAAAGAAAAATACACTTTATTCAAATTATCACAACTTCAACTTCATATTTTATTAAAAAAAATTGAATGTTTCAGGGGCCAATTGCTCATCGACAGGGAAGAGTGGACAACAACAAATTTCAACACAAGGTCATGAAATTCTTCCTTAGCATTTTACTTTTTGCATATTTTATTTGAAGAAGATAAACATCCGCCCAATTACTTGAAAATTAGTGATAAACCTAAGCTCAATAATTCAGCAAAGAAGCATACCTAGATTTTGAGAAGTCAATTAGAAATTTCAAGCAAATTGTCATTCAGCAACCATATTCACTCCATCGTCCCTCTTCCGTCATCTCTCTCGCTATATGAGATTCCCAAAAATCAACAAAAATTGAGCCGCTATACTATATGATTTCGTACAAGAAGAAAGCTACTCATAAAGAATAGGGAGCGTCGGAGAGGAATTGAAGCAAGCGAGATTGACAGGAAAAATGGGCGGCTCAAAGGAGATGAACGAACCCTATTTTTCGGCAATAGGGTTTCTCTCTTTTTGTGGGTTTCTCTTTGTCGGCAAAATGAAAAAAAAGAAAAGAAAAATTGTGCGTTGTAGTGCATCAGTTTACAGAAATCAGTCAAATACTTCCTTCATATTCCTATCTAAATATTCATTGACTATTTTGATAAATGGTTACTTTAATATTAAATTAGTTTAGCTACGTAGTAGTGCATTATTAGTTCTTAAAGTTTAAGAACTTAGAGGTAATTGTTGTAATTGTAGTTATAAGTTGTTATTCCGTTTGACAACACTGTGTTTCGGCTTATCAGGCTTATCAGCCAGCTTTTTCACCAAACACGTAATTTTTGCTTTCGCGCGCCGAATTGGGTAATGAGCAGAAAAATTAAGGTTGGGGTTACGTTTCTGGCTGTATTGACTAAAGTTAATGTAGATGACCATTTTACCTATTTTTGCATATAATTATTTCTTTATTTTATTATTAAAATATAGTTTTCAAATGATTATTTCTTAAATTATCAAAATCAGCCATTGCATCCACTTCACGAAGAACTTCATAAATTTCAGCATAATCAGCTAAAACAGCCAATATTCGTGCTATCAAACGTGCTCTTAGTATAATAAGAGCCCTTAGTATAAAGTATTAGATCCGATCTTTACATTGTCACAAAATTTACATAATTAGTACTCCGTAGTTTTTTAAGCACATAATTGGTAGTTAATTACTTATATAATAGATTTTTTATTTTTTTACTGAATGGATATCACGTATTTGCAGTTCGGCCTAATAAATACCGATTTATTTTGCCAAGAGGATTGATCCCAAATCAATTCTTACTGTTACCACAACATGCACCGTCCATTGTTATGAATTTTCCGGGTACATTTAACATTTATCTCAATCTTATGAATTTAATACATATTATATGTAGTGTGATTTCCTAACTCTCTCATAAACACACCTTATTCATGTCATTTACTAATAGGCTGTTTTTTTAAAAATTTACCATATTTGAATAGGATATCATGACATTGGGTCTATGGACCACACATGCCAATTTTGCTACTCCAAAATGTGGTATGGAGAGAGACTTTCTCCAAAAGTCAACACCAACAGTCCTAAATTTTCAATGTGTTGTCAACAAGGACGGGTTCTTTTACCATCGCTACAACAACCACCTGATTTTCTTATAGAACTATTCAAAGGTAGCGATAGAAGAAGCACAAAGTTCCTGAACAATATTAGGGCATATAATATGATGTTTGCATTTACTTCGTTGGGGGGCAAGGTACAAAAAGAACTCAATAATTCCGGAGGACCCTATGTATATCGAATGCATGGTCAAAATTATCACTTGATGGGAAGCTTGCTACCAGTTGATTCGAGCAAACCTAAGTTCTCACAGCTCTATATTTATGACACGGAGAATGAGATACCGAACAGACTTCGTGCATTAGAGTAAGTTTGTAACACACTTACTTTATTGTCTACTAATATAAATTTATATATTAGGAATGGTATCGGTTTGAATAATTTTTTATATGCATGACTTCTTAACTAAATACTTATACGGTTAATTAATTACACATGTTTGAATGTCTTTTTTAGACAATCTGTTTGATTAATCATAGAAATATATGGATAAATTTTCTAACATTTTTTTAAAGAATAATTTATCTAGCCTTAATAAATTTAAATTAAAGTTAAACAATCCATATTAAAAATTGCCCAGGTAAAATATTTAAATTTATTAGATAATATTTTTTCATTACACGACTAAATACATTGATATTTTCATTTTTTGTGAATTTAGGAAATCAGAATCATCAAATGAGCTCGATCCAAAAATAGTTCATGGCTTGAAAGATATGATGGACCAACATAATGAGTTGGCGAAGTGCTTTCGTTCTGCAAGGGATAGATTCCAAGAAGCACCACAAACAGAATTCAAACTCAGGCTACTTTGTAACCGTGAAAGAGATGGAAGAACATATAATTTGCCCACTGCATCTGAAGTGGCTGTTCTTATAGTCGGAGATTTGGATAGTATGTCTTCTCACCGTGATATTATTTTGGAGCACAAAGATCGCACTTTGCAACGCATTAATGAGCTCCATCCTTCATATTTGGCCTTGCAATATCCCATACTATTTCCATATGGAGAAGAAGGGTATAGATTAGAGATCAAGTATAGACAAGTTGAAGGTAGAGATGCTATCAAACGGAAAGATGTCACAATGAGAGAATTCTTTGCCTACAGGCTTCAACAAAGGGATGTCGAATTTAGTACAATTCTATCATCACGAAGACTATTTCATCAATTTATTGTTGATGCTTATACGATGATAGAAAGTGATCGCTTGAAGTATGTCCGGCTAAATCAAAAGAAGCTAAGAGCAGATGTTTATAATGGGTTAACCGATGCGGTTGTAAGAGGCGAAACAAACCCAAACACTCAAGGCAAAAGAATTATTTTACCATCTTCTTTCACAGGAGGTGCAAGGTATATGATACAAAATTACCAAGATGCCATGGCGATAGTCACACAATTCGGAAACCCGGATTTGTTCATCACATTTACGTGCAATCCCAAATGGCCAGAAATAGAGAGAGAAGTAAAAAAGGCGGGAGTGAGACCAGAAGATCGGCCCGATTTGGTTACAAGGGTCTTTAAGATAAAGCTAAACAATTTGATAGCCGATTTGAAAGATCAGAATATATTCGGCCATCCAAGAGCATGTAAGTTTTACTTTTGACAAAATGTTTACTTTGTTAACACATGCACACAATTTTACTTTTCTTAATAATGGTATTATAGTGTAATATATCTTAGATGGACTAATGGGATGTGTAGGTGGATGTCTAACATAAGATCCAAAGCTCTGACATTTTTAATAAACAGAACTACATTAATTTCATTATAATTAACAAAAAAATTGTCCTGCGATTTTATGATTACATAACTAAAAAAAGGAAAGTTCCCGAAATAGGACTAAAAAAGTTTGAAAATTACAAAATAGGACTGTCATATTTTATATTTCCAAAATAGGACTAATTACTGACATGTTTAGAAAATATTGTCATGTTTGAAGTCTGGTACTACCAAAACATGGCAGTAATTGGTCCTATTTTGGGAATAAAAACATGGCAGTCCTATTTTAGAATTGAAAATTGTTTTAGTCCTATTTTGGGTAATATCTCTTTAACAAATGTCATAAATGTGTATTAGTGAATTATCTTACCATGCCTTACATTATTTTATCACTCATCTACTTTCTCTATTCACGTAATACTTTTTATAAAAAAAATTATTCCATTTATTCAAAAATAAATATTTCTGTCATTTTTATATGGTGACATTTCACTTACTATGATAGTACTATATGTCGCATTTTATATGCAGTGGTCTACACGATAGAATTTCAAAAAAGGGGATTGCTGCATGCCCATATTGTGTTGTTCTTACAACCAGAGTTCAAACTAAGGGAGTGTGATGATATAGACAAAGTCATATCAGCCGAATTGCCGGATCCGAATCTCGACTATGAGCTCTTTAATGCGGTGCAAAGCACAATGATCCATGGACCATGTGGATATCTAAACAAGAAAGCACTGTGCATGGAAAACGGAAAGTGTGGCAAATATTATCCAAGAACTTTTAACCAATTCACAACAGTGCGTGAAGATGGTTATCCAATCTATAGAAGAAGGAATACCGGTATCACGGCCGAAAAAAATAAAATACCGATTGATAACAGATATGTTGTGCCATATAATCCGTACTTGCTCAGAAAGTATCGCGCCCACATAAATGTTGAGTGGTGCTATAAGGCGAGATCTATAAAATATCTCTTCAAGTATGTCAATAAAGGTCACGACCGTGTTACCGCTGCATTATATGAAAAAGATACAGCGGAGAACAACAATGTCGTACATGATGAGATTAAAGCTTACTGCAATTGCAGGTATATTAGCGCCGCAGAAGGTATGTGGAGGATATTGAGCTTTGATATACATTACAGAATCCCGGCTGTTGAAAGACTGAGTTGTCATCTCCCCAATCAGCAATATGTGGTATACAATGAAGATCAAGAAATTGAGCAGGTAAGTTTTGTAAACTGACTTTCAATTAAAATAGTTGAATATAATAATAGTTACTAACAATTTCATTTTAATATTTTCAAAAATAATAGGTGGTGCAGCAATCCAAAGTACAAAAAACCACGCTCACTGCGTGGTTTGAAACTAATAGAGTTGATCCAGATGGTAGAACACTTTCTTACGCAAAATTTCCCATGAAGTATACATGGAAAGAGAGTGCAAAAGTTTGGGTAAAAAGACAACAACGTTCATGCATTGGGAGAATACATAACATACCTCCGGGATCGGGCGAGTGTTGGTACTTAAGGATACTACTCAATAAAGCTAAAGGATGTCAGTCTTTTGAAGATGTTCGCACCGTGGATGGTGTCGTATACCCGACATACAAAGATGCCTGCCACGCACTAGGTATTATAGATGACGATCAAGAATTTGTTGAAGCACTCGAAGAAGTGAACAAATGGGGAACTGCATCATACTTAAGAACATTATTTGCTACTTTTCTGCTTATAAAGAATCTGCATTCTCCATTGCACGTGTGGACCAATTGTTGGAAGCTTCTTGCAGATGATTTCTTGCATGGTCCAGGAAATCCAAATATAACGTACATTGTCTCAGGTACGCTTCCACATCATTAACAATTATATTGCATTTTACAGAATAAATAGGATTACTATTATTTTTCAATTTAAAGAGTGACATTAGTTTTACATATCATTGTACATGTTAAATTATTTAATTAAATGTATACAATTAATGTTCTTAAATTATTTAAGAGAGCGAGGCTCAAGACAAGGCACTTCAAAGGATCGAAGAGATTCTAAAGCGTAATGGAAGAACATTGGCTGACTTTGAAGGGATGCCTGTCGTAGAACATATAGATGATGGACGAGTAGTTGACGCATTGGTACGGGAAGAAATGCAGTATGATAAAGAAGAATTGTCTAGCCAGCTGATGCAGTTACTTCCATCATTAACGACTGAACAAAAAGAAATTTTTGATTGTGTTATTAATGCAATATCTACAGATCAAGGAGGTAGGAAAACTACATAAAATTAATGAATACTTATTATATCTCAATTAATATCTTAAGTCATGCTAAACACGTCACCCGTTATCTTCACAAACCAGGTGTGTATTTTGTTCATGGATTTGGTGGGTCTGGAAAAACATTCTTATGGAATACATTGGCAGCATCTGTGAGGAGCAGAGGAGAAGTGTTGATTAATGTTGCTTCAAGCGGCATTGCGTCATTATTACTTCCCGGTGGTAGAACCTCTCATTCCAGGTTCCAATTTACTCTTCACAACTTCCAATTCAATTATTAATAAAACTACATCACTAAAAAATAATTTAATCGTTAATACTAATGCAATCAAATATCATCATAAATTTAAAATGATTCTGCATACTTCATTTATAATAACTACGTTTTATATTAATATTAATAATTTAAGTCTCCAATTATATAATACATAGTATATATTAGCATTAGTATATATTATTCTGCAATTCATTCCAGGTTTTCGATCCCATTGAGTATTGCTGAAAATTCAACATGTAATATCAAGCGCGGGAGTCCAAAATCAAGATTATTAATAGCCACAAAATTAATCATTTGGGATGAAGCGCCAATGACTCACAAGTATTGCTTTGAGGCTCTTGACAAGACACTCAGAGATATTTGCTCATCTGTAAATCCAAAGAATGAAGAGTTGCCCTTTGGTGGAAAAATTGTTGTTCTAGGAGGGGATTTTCGACAGACGCTACCGGTAATCCCTAAAGGCACGCGTGAAGAAATTGTCATGTCGGCAATAAACTCATCATACTTATGGGATTATGTTCAAGTCAAGCATCTCACAATAAACATGAGGTTGATGCATCAAAGCAACATGCTGGATAGGGAAGAAGTTGAACGATTTGCTAGGTGGATATTACAGATTGGCGAGGGCACTATCGGTAAGGAGTCTGACAGAGACATTGAAGTTGAAATACCGCCTGATTTGTTGATCCACTCGAATGGGGATAACTACAAAGCCATTGTTGACAGTACTTATCCAGACTTGCACAACAATCTGTCAAATTTTGACTACTTGGAAGAGAGGGCAATCCTGGCACCAACTTTGGAAATAGTAGAGGGCATAAACAACTACATCCTCTCAACGTTACCAGGAGAAGAGGTAAAATATTTCAGCTACGACAGCATATGTCCCACTGCGGCAAGTAGTTCTGGTGATGATGACATATATCCACAAGAATATTTAAACAGCATTTCAATATCTGGATTGCCAAATCATGTGCTTAGCCTCAAAATCGGTGTCCCTATAATGTTATTGCGTAATATTGATCAATCTGCAGGTCTATGCAATGGAACACGATGGGTGATAACAAAATTGGGGAAACGCATCTTGGAAGCCAAAGTCCTCACCGGACCGAGCAGAGGGAATAAAATATTGATTCCAAGGATGAATCTATGCCCAACAGATACAACGTTGCACATAAAACTTCAGAGGAAACAATTCCCAATTTTAGTATGCTTTGCAATGACCATCAACAAAAGTCAGGGGCAAACACTAGCACATGTTGGACTTTATTTGGAAAAAAGTGTATTCACGCATGGGCAGCTATATGTGGCTGTTTCAAGAGTCAAGAGCAGAAATGGGTTGAAAATTTTGTTGGGTGGAGGAGAAGGATGCAATACAACAACAAATGTTGTATACAAAGAAGTTTTTCAAAATGTTTGATTTTCTTTTATAGCACATCGATGTATGATACTTATCACAAGAATATTTTCATTTCACTATACTTTTGTTACTTTGCACGTTATGAACTTTTTTAAATTACCGTGCTAATATTAATGACAATAATAACAATGATAATAATAATAAATCTTCAGCCACCAATTTTTATCCCTTTCTCATTTCTCAACAAAACTTTAATAATATACCTGTAATATATTATTTTTCAACATAAACAATGTTATTAACCATTTCTATAAATAACTCAAAACATATATTAATATATGCTCTTTTTCCTGCACATTTAATATATGATGGAGTATTATATTTCATATTAACATGACACTACCGGGGCATTGCCCCGGGTGTTACACTAGTCCTTATCAATTTTGTTGTTGAAAGTTAACAGTGTTAAAAGAATATCTATACCTGATCGTCAATATTTTGTCTGTTTTTCGTTGATCCGGTCGAGCATAGAGATGGCAATTGACAAATATGATGGATACCCGCATTGAATCCCCTGGTCAAAACGAGGAAAATCGCATTGACCGGATAATGGGTACGGGGCGAACAATATTCGCTTTGTTCTTACGGGTAACGGTGCGGTTACAGTTTTATACATGCTCGCCCCATTACCCGCCTCGTACCCGCCCCATTTATTTTTAGTTATATTTTTATTACATTCTTGTCTATTATTTGTCCCACAATTAATAAAAGACGAGATTTTTTTATTTTCATTGTGTATATATGAATAGTAGATATAATAACTATAGTGTATGAATGAAAGTTCATAATAGATCTTAAGAGTCTTGTTTGATTATTATCACACTTTTCGTGATTAATTATTTTTTAGATTAAGTATTTTTAGGTTCAAATTAATTTAGATTGTCTTCTTTCTCATCTTGTAGATATACAAACTTTAAAGTGGCGTCTCAGATCAATGTAGAGTCGTCTAAGTGATGTCATTTTTCTCCTTTTAAAATATTATTTTTATATTAAAATATCAATGACTAATTTAATAAAGCAATTATATGCGGGTATCCGCGGTTATACCCGTTACCCGTTGAGGCGGTTATGGTTTGGATAAAAATTACCCATTGGGTAATGGGGCGGGGGAATTACCAAACGGGGGGTGGGGGGGTACAGTTGTATGTAAAATCGTTCCTAATCCGCCTCGTTGTCATCCCTAGTCGAGCCCAATTTATTATTGTATGGTCAATCCTGATCCAATATGCTCATATTGGATTGGTCTAGTATGATGATATACGGAGTATTATGATTAGGGGTGGATTCAATTTGGACCACCCAGCCCAGCCCGGCCCGCTACTGTGCGGGCCCGGAACCGGCCCGGTCTAGCGGTCCGGGACCGGGTGTAGACCTGAACCGGTGGGGAAGGGCGGGGCGGGCTCGTTTCAGGCTAATGGTGACCTGGCCCGGGTTCGGGTCCAACGGCCATATTTTTTTTAAAAAAAAAATTGTTGGACTTTTGGGCCACAAAGAGGCGTTGGGGGTGGGCTGGGGACTACCCAAACGGCTATGTAGCCCAAGTTGGCTAGCAGGGGGTCCAGGCGGTTTGGGGGGTGGGGTGGGGGGGTAAAAAAAACTATAAATACTCCTAATATTAAACATTTTTCCATATCTCTTCCTAAATCCTACACTCTACTCTCTAATTATTATCTTGATATTCATCTTCTCAAATTCTCTTATTCTCCAATATATTATATACTACGTATCTACTTATATTATTTATCTACTTATAAATATATATATATTTATATTACTTATATTTCTTATCTACTTATATATTAATTATCTACTTATAAATACATATATTATATTACTTAGATTACATTTTTAAGATGGAAGGTGGTAGATATTCGGTTGATATGGGTAACCTCGAGCGCAACCGAACGAACGAGCTTGCGAGGAAGAAATCCCGCAAAGGTAAATCACATATCGGCTCTTCATCTCAAAACCGAGATAATTTTGATACAGGTTACGCAAGGAGGGATGGGGATGCCATGACCGACGGACAACTAGAACAAAAATTGCACCGACATAATAGTCGGTTTTTCCAAGACCAGCCGAGGACCATTGACGAAGAAGAGCTCGAGGACGACGATATGGAGGAAGTAATTCCGGACAGCCACGACGGCGACGCGGAGGAGGGTGGTGGCAGCCACGACGCCGACGAGCCTGCCTCATCCCAAACATGTACAAAAAAAAGTTGATCTGAACTAATGCAAAATAATTTTGATAAGTGGAAGGACCCGAACACCGGGAATTGGAACACAGCTTGCAAGTGGTGCAAGAAAAATTATAGCTTGGGGATTTCCGGGGGATACGGATCCGCCACAAGGCATCTTAAGTCCAAACACACGGTGGAGTATGCAAAATTAGGCGGCGGAACGGGGAAGCAAACTCAAATATCGAGATTTGCAAATAACCAACAACCTTTTGGTAATTTCTCATACAATGATGCACAAAATTTGACAGGTATGGCTAACTTACTTGTTGAAGAAAATTTGGCTTATTTGTTTTCTGAAAGTCTTGCTTTTCGTGATTATGCGCAAACTTGTTTAAATCCTCAATGTAGAGGTTATAGTCGCAAAACGGTTAAGAAAGAAATTTCAAGGCTTTATGGTGCGGAAAAGGTAAGGTTACAAAATTATTTTGCAAACTTTGATGGGTGAATTGTGTACAAAAATTTGAAATTACCTCGTTTTTGTTACCCACTGGTGGGGTTACAAAAATTTCTATAAATACTCTTATTTTCTAACATTTTTATACACATCTTCTCCAATATCCAATCTTCATTCTCCATCTTCATCTCAATCTATTCTAGTATTTGTAGAATTATTATATCTACCATTTTTAAGATGGAAAGTCAATATGCCGTTATATGGTATAATTTTGAATTTTTTATACGCGGAAGGACCTGAGGACCGTGATGTGGTACGCAACTTGCAAATGGTGCGGAAAAAAGTGTAGCATGGAGGTTTCACGCGGATACGGGATGGCAAGAAAGCATATTAAGTCATGTGACAAAGCTAAAGGACCGGGAAGTCCGGGAAGTTCTGATTGATTACAAAATGTATTTCATATTGTATTTTTTTCTCAATTGTCAAATGTAGTTCCTATTTCATTTCAAATAAATGCACTTGAAGTTTGTTTTTAATACTTGTATAAAACTATAAAGTATAAATTATAAAAAAATATGTATTTAACCAGCCCGGCCCGGCCCGGCGGGTGGCCCGACCCGTGACCCGGGCGAGTGGCCCAGCCCAAACCGGAACTGCCTGTACCTCGGGCCAGTCCCGGTCCCACCATTCACAAACCGGCGACCCGACCGGACCTAGGCCCGGCCCGAATCCATGCCTAATTATGATATTGTCATGTTTCATCTAATGTGAACTAATATGTCATTAGTATGTGCATTTTACTTCACAAATAAATAATCATTAATAACTATATATGTTGTATATTTCTTGTCATTCAGTTATTAGAATAAAAAAATATCATTTCTTTTCAAATTAGTTCTTTATAAAATTATTTTTTTTTATTTTATTAAATTTGTTTTCATGTTTGTTAAAATTTTAAATAATAAGAACATAAAACAAGATTGACATTTTATTTATTTGAATAACTATTCTATGAATCATATACTGCACTACTATTATTATAAAATATATCTCAAAAAATAAATTGACATAATATCAAACCAAAACGAAGTGAAGCGGACTAGAAAAAATTATCCAAAAGAAAAAAGATCATATTCAAATAATCAATAACTGAGTGATGGAGTATATGGGTCTGAGCCCCCGGACCCACATACTCGGAAGAACAGAAAGCACAAGGCACAGAGTGGCGCCCTCGTCGGCCAGGACGCCCCCATCGGCCGAAAAGGGACCAACTCGGATTATGGTCCTGAGTCCAAGGAACCCGGGTGCCCTCGTCGGCCGTGCCCTCGTCGGCCGTGCCTTCGTCGGCCGTGCCTTCGTCGGCCACGCCCTCGTCGGCCACGAAGACCTCACAGAATCGGATTTTATACTTACTCATTTGTACAGCCCATTAGTGGCTTTGTATTCGGCCCAGTAGCGGTCCAGTTGTAAATGGGCCTCCCAAGCCCAAGGCTTGGGAGCCCAACCCTAATTTTCTCTATAAATACTCCCCTTGGGAGTAGTTATAGGGGTTACGAATTCATTCTATTGAAGCATATTATTGCACTTCTCTCTCTAGCTCTCACTTCTCTCTAGATATACTCTATCATTTGGTGCTCTCGTTGAGAGCTAGAACAATCAAGTTAGCACCCTTCGTCGCTACCAAGCACAGCTAACCACTGATCATGGGGAGAACTAAGTCAAACCGCAACCTCGTCAGCAAAGCCATCCCTGAGGACCAAGAGCCCAGGGAGCACGATGAGGACGCCACGGCCGACCAGGCCGGCGGAGGGGACCTCTTCCAGGAGGCCTTTAACCTCACGACGGACCTCCGCAACCAACTCAACGGCGGAGTCCCCGACGCCCGCCTCGGCCTGGAAAAGAAACGAGCTGAGAAGACGGACCACGCCCCGGCCCAGCCTATGGTCGCGGCCTCTCCGTCCGTGGACCCACAGGTCCAGGCCGCGTTGTCGGTCATCATCGCCAGCCTGGCCCAGAACCACACCGTCCTCAGCGCACTCTTGCCAAGGACCGGGGGAAACGTCACTCCACCTCCTCATCCCCAACCGTTGGCCGTCCAGATAGGCAACAATGAGGGGGTTATGTATGGTCATCCCTAGTCGAGCCCAATTTATTATTGTATGGTCAATCCTGATCCAATATGCTCATATTGGATTGGTCTAGTATGATGATATACGGAGTATTATGATTAGGGGTGGATTCGGTTCGGGCCACCTCGCCTGTGACCCGTCCCGGCCCGCTACTGTGCGGGCTCGGGACCGGCCCGGTCTGGCGGTCCAGGACCGGGTGTAGACCCAAACCGGTGGGGAAGGGCGGGCGGGCTCATTTCAGACTAATGGTGACCTGGTCCGGGTCCGGGTCCAACGGCCATATTTTATTAAAAAAAATTGTTTGGACTTTTGGGCCACAAAGAGCCATTGGGGGTGGGCTGGGGACTACCCAAACAGCTATGTACCCGTTGGGTGGGCTGGCAGGGGGGTCTGG